GTTGCCGTCAAGCCATTAACAGGTACCCTGAGCCAACACTTCTATATGAATCTCCTTCTCAAGTAAACAGAAATAATCAAGTAAGCAGAAATAAAGTCAAAAACACTTCAAGCCTTATGCAAGGAAGCAAGCTGAACATCCTATTCCCAGACCTCCCTGCCAATCACTCAAACTACCCGTTCTGAGGGAGGATGGGGGAGTCTCACCATGCACATAACACAAAACACAATCAAACTCTCAATTACTCAAACAAAGGCAAAACACGCAACTGACCATTAATTGAAGAAAAAAATGCAGATTACGTTCTTCAGCCATTTAAGTACCAAAGGGTAGAAAAAAATGTCAAGATTCTAGGCAAATTCAACTCCATACCAACTGCGGACGTCCCACCTCCCCCACCAAAAGTCATCATAAACACTTTTTATCAACCAGAGGGTAAAAGGATAGAATATGGGGAAATGGGAACGGTATAATCACCGTCATTTGGATTGAAAAACAACTGAGCTAGAAAGTCATACCATAAACCAACCTAGCAAGATAGGATTCAAACAGCAAAGGTGCTCACCAGATGAAGCGTTCGATAGATAGAGTCACCAGACTTGTCATTGTTTTCAATCCTCGGCTTGCGCTTTATTTTCCACAGCGCAGACATCCTCAGGAATGTATTCTCATGGTAATTAATTCTACCACCTGACGTGTTCAGCACGGAGACAGAAGTTTCTTAAAATACACGCCTCCCAGCTCCGAAGAGAGCATCCTCTCAGATGGACGTCCCATGCTGCTTTTCCCATGAAAATCTACAGCCACGTCTCAACGCAGCAAGGACAATGCCGGTGAGATCCTGGCGCTGCACCCACGTCCCATCAGTGCCCTCTGGGGAGCTGTCAAAGGCTAACCTCTGGACCAGAACTCAGGCTTTGATTTCACCTGGCTAAACAACAAAAGTTCCAGAAAGGGAGAGCTGAAACTGGCAAGAAAACAAAGCACAAAACGCCTCCCCGGGATGCAGGCGTCTCTGCCCTGCAGCCTGAGATCAGCTGATTGGCCAGCATCCTGCACTGCACAGGAATATTAAACCTGCCGGGCTCCCAAAACTTTCAAGGCATTCCACACCAAGTCAAGAGCAGGCAACTAAAAAAAGTTGTGTGTGTGTTTTTAAAAACAGTTGATAGTTTCACATTTTTCCATTCATGCTTTGTTATAAAGGCAAACATTTCTGAGAGAAAAACAATATGGATTAGAAAGAAAAGAAAGTCATTCCTCATGGAAACGTCCTGAAAATGATTCTAATACATTTGCTAAATGGAAAACAAAATCACAGCTGCCAGGAAGCCTGGAATGCATGACGCATGCCTCGACTGCCCTGAAGCTAATTAGCATTCATTTCCAGAAACAAGAGTTTTCAATGAGAAGCAGAGAAAAAAGTAGCCAGTGGTGATGAGGCTTTTTGAGGTTGTCACCCACAGTCACAAGAGAAATGAGGCGGTTCACAAAGAGAAAGGTCGCTAGACTGCCCTTGCGGTGTGACAGGGCCACCTCCCCCCCAGTGGCTGTGACATTCCAGTGTCACCACGCTCAACAACAAGCATACAATTATTTACTTTCAACTCCAAAAGGCCATGCACAGCAAAAACTGCTATTCAAAATAAGTGAAAACCACTGAACTCCAACATGGTTTTTCTTTATTCTGATAGAAATTATGTAAAACAGTCCATTTAGAAAGAAAATAGGACATTAAACAACAAAATCAACAGCTCTAACATACTCAGCTGGAATAATAAATGATTACTTGTTTCTGTTTACTTATTTATGTATTTACATCTCTACACTCAGCCTGGTGCATTCAGACAGGGTTAAATCACGCTTCCACGTTTAGACAGCTAACAACTTAAAAATTAATTTTCAGTATATTCTCAAGAAAAATTTTACACTTACATAGGAGATGCGTAAAAAATATTTAGCCTTAACCAAGAAACTAAAGGTGTTTGCTTGCTCTTACTTTAAATCATAAAAACAGACACACAGAAACGTTAAGCATTAGGAAAATATTTAAGTGGTTTATGGCTGTGTATATGAATGGCTGACAGCACCACTAATAAGTTAATTCCTTTTTTTTTTTTTTTTTTTTAATGAAGCCTGATATTTAACACCAGATGTTAACAATCTGGACACAAGGTAGTCTTAGCTAGCCACTAACACCATAAGACCTGGAGCCAAACTGGATTTGCAACCTGGTTTTGTCATCACAGAGCTGTGTGACCTTCAGTAAGTCCCTTAACCTCTCTGTTCCAGTGCCCTCATCTATAAAAGAGGGCAAATAATAGTATCTCTCTCAAGAGTGTTCTGAGGCTAAGATGAGTTAATATAGAACAATGCCTAATATATACCAGACCTTAAATAAGTATTACTTCTCATTTGTTATTAATAACACACACTAGAACCCAGTCACCAAGAACTGCTCATTTAAGCTTTTAGCTTTCAAATATCCTAAGTGAGAAATTTAATTGACCAAAGGTTATTTTAGCTAACTAATTTGGGTTGCATGACAAAACTTCAAATACAGAAGATGAAGATTGAATCAAAGCAAAACTAGGAAGTATTTCGGACACAGAATTCCACAGTGCTCCCGACATCTAATCTAGCAGAAAGGAATACAAACTTATGGTCTGAACGCGGTCTACTGCATGATCTTTAAAACTATTCAAATCATCACCCAGACTTCTTGTTAATGATTTTTTTTTTTTTTTTTTTTTTGAGATGGAGTCTCACTCTGTCGCCCAGGCTGGAATGCAGTGGCGTGATCTCCGCTCACTGCAACCTCCGTCTCCCAGATTAAGGCAATTCTCCTGCCTCAGCCTCACAAGTAGCTTGTCAATAACTTTGAGAAAATTCTGCCCGTTTTTAGAAAGCCCACTATGAATTTCTACAAGAAAATCTTGGAACAGCACCATCTATTTCTACATCCGATCCTTTGTGTTCCGGATGAGTTCCAAGGACCTTGTTCTCTGGAAAAGGAACCATGGAGTCACAGTGACACGTGGGACCAGTCCACAAAGCCCTGCAGCCTCATCTGTCCTCTCCACTGCCAGACCTCATATTATATAGGACTCTGTTTATGACCTCATGACTCACTATATTTAACACGGAAATGATCTCTCTCAAAATCCACAAGGAGATGAGAACACTGACCTATTACAGTCAAGTAAAAATAATCCAATCATTTCTGATCCAATACTTTTTAAGTGCTCAGAAATAAATGTTTTGGATACAGGAAAAATAGTTGTCTAAATCCAGTTAGAAATTGAAAATTTATATTTTTAGTTCCTATAACACAGTAACCTAATAGATACCCTTCAAAATTGCTTACATCAGTATAGAAATATCAGTTTCTCCTGAGGACAACTGAATAAATTGCGCCCCTGGCCCACACACACACACAAATAAGTGAGCAAAAGAAATGTGAGGGTCACCTACATAAAAAGTCACTTTAAGCAGGTTTTTTTTAATTTGCCTTAAAAAAATCTGCATTTCCATTGATCTGCTTTTTTAATTAACAACCAACATAACACCTTTCAGTCTATGAATGAAAATCCTATGGTCAGAAAAGAGAAACAAATATGGATAAAAGATATTGAAGAACCAAACATGTGCAGCCAAGAAAGTCCTACAGAATACACACATACAGAGGAATCAAAACAGGAAAAGCACAAACGTAGGTTTTAAAAAATAATAGTTTGGTCGGGCGCAGTGGCTCACGCCTGTAATTCCAGCACTTTGGGAGGTCGTGGAGGGCGAATCACGAGGTCAGGGGATCAAGAGCATCCTGGCCAAATGGTGAAACCCTGTCTGTACTAAAATACAAAAAATTAGCAGGGTGTGATGGCACACACCTGTAGTCCCAGCTACTCAGGAGGCTGAGGCAGGAGAATCTCTTGAACCCAGGAGGTGGAGGCTGCAGTAAGCTGAGATCGTGCCACTGCACTCCAGCCTGGCCACAGAGCAAGGCTCCATCTCAAAAATAATAATAATAATAGTTCATGTTTGAGAAACATTTTTCCATTATCAAAGTGCTTTCTCATAGTTATGTTATTTAACTTATCCAAAAATCCAATCTCCAGGCAAAGGCAAGAATCACCCTGACTTTGCAGATGGGAAAATGAAGGTATAACTTTAAATTATATGATTTGCTTAGATTAAGTGACTAGTAAGTGTCAAGCAAAAAAATGAGAGATTATAAAGGAATATAAATATCTCAACAACATTAAAGAAAAAGATGAATAAGTATGGAAACATAATCATATGCAATTGCCGTTTGTAGAGGTGAGTGTCTTTTGGATTGGGGTAGCACAGAGGTTTTAAGTTGGGTTGCGTTTTGAAGACTGCGATAAAAAGAGGCTGTTGACCCACGGAACGGAACTCCTTATGAAGTGGAATAGAAGCATGACACATTATAGGCAACAATTCTAGTGTCTGGAACCAAAGAGTCAGTGAACTTTCTTACTATGTTCAACTAAGGAAACATATATTTGGATTAATTTTAAAATATGTTTTCTTTCCCTTTAACATGAAAGTTGCTCAATTTTAACAAGAGCTGAATGCAGATAATTCAAAAGGAGTTCATTATAGAAACCCTAAGCAGCAAAAAAGCATAGCTGACTCAGTCCCACATACTTTGAATGCTATTTCATTCTACACAAATGAAGATGTAATAAGGAAATGGGATAAAATTATGGCATTAACTGGGAGCTCCAGCCGTGGCAGAAATTAAAGAAAAAGGATTTCATTTCATTAGGAGTGATTTCTGCCCTACATTCTCACATACAGGTTTGTTACCAAGGCTGTAATTTGGATTTCATATCTTGCTATTTAGCAACATCTCAGGAGTAAAAACACTTGGTCCATGGAGAGGCCTGGTAACCACATACAGCTGTGTAGGTGACGTGTCAGCTGTGATTCTTCAGTGGTTCAAGGCATGGGATGTGAAAATGAAAATCTCTCACCTTGCTGCTGTGATCAGTCTCATCTGAGGATTCCAAGTCTGGCCCCTCGGTCTCCTCTGGCGCGGTCTCAGCACTGCTGCCCTGCTCACTGCAGAGGCTGTGCCCTGTCAGATGAAATCAGAAGAAAATGTGGGTCAGCATGGATAAAATTGCTAAAAGCCACCCCTGTGCGACAGGGACAAGGAGCCGTTTTCATAACATGTACATATACTGTAAGACCCTCCAAGTACAAGCTCCAACACCTTGGTTCCATCAAATGAAAATGATAGTTGTTACTGTTACTACTAGTATTATTTTTATTTTTCATAATAAATAATAATTGTTGTGGATTGGTTGTGTTTGTCCCCCCCCACTCCAAATTCTTATGTTGAAGACCTATCCCTCAATGTAATAAAGTAGTTAGAAGAGGGATGTTTGAGAAGTAATTAAGTTTAGATGAGGTCATGAGGGTGGGGTCCCCACGGATGAAATTAGTGCCCTTGTAAGAAGAGACAGAAACCAGAGTTTGTTCTCTCTCCACCATGTGCAGACACAGTAAGAAGGCAGCTGTCTGCAAGTCAGGAAAAGAGTCCTCACCAGGGAACTGAATTGGCTAGCATCCAGATAATGTGGTTTCCCAGGCTCTGAAACCGTAAGAAATAAATGACTGTTGTTTAAGCCATTCATTTATGATATTTTGTTATAGCAACTTCAGCTAAGACAATAATAATTTATAATAAAAGAATATGTGTGTGTGTGTGTATTTTTTTTTTTTTTTTGAGACGCAGTTTCATTCTTGTTGCCTAGGCTGGAGTGCAATGGCGTGATCTCAGCTCACCACAACCTCCACCTCTTAGGTTCAAGCAATTCTCCTGCCTCAGCCTCCCAAGTAGCTGGGATTACAGGCATGTGTCACCATGCCTGGCTAATTGTGTATTTTTAGTAGAGATGGGGTTGCACCATGTTGGTTAGGCTGGTCTCGAACTCCTGACCTCAGGTGATCCGCCCACCTCAGCCTCCCAAAGTGCTGGGATTACAGGAGTGAGCCACCATAATAAAAGAATATATATTTTATGTATTAAAAAAGTAACTAATTTTGTTAATGTTACAATTAGCAAATTGATGAATTCATTGATTACTAAAATAATTTAAAAAAACATACTGAGACCAGTACAACAAAAAAAATGACTTCCCACATCCATTACCTAAAAAATCCTGCAAAATCTATGTTTGCTAAGTCTGGCAAACTATAAATATCTTATAATACCTGCTCTTTCCATGATATTCTGTGCAGAAGTGCAAGCAACTTTCTTCCTTTGCTATTTACTGAGTGCTTACCACAGTGAATCTCTATAGTGGTTCTCTGCATTGAGAAGAGAACATGAGGATCACTTTCCCGTGGGGTGCTTCTCAAACTGACAGAGAATCTGGATCCCTGGGGGATCATGTTAAATGCAGATTCTCATTCAACAGGCATGGGGTTGGGCCTAAGATTCTGCATTTATTACCAGCTCTGAATGATACTCATCAAAACTGCAGGACCATGGACCACATTTGGAAGAGAGACTCTAGAACACTGAAAACCTTCTCTACTTGAATCTGAGAAGACAGTGGTGTGAGTACCACAGTCCTACAATAGGAGGCACTGGATCGCGGACTTGAGCATTATCAATATAACCAGACAAGAGAGAAGGAAAGAGAAGAAATGGAAGCAGGAGGAGCCTCTGATGCTTTAGATGAGGGTCTGCAAAGTGGTTCCCTTGCTCCAATGACACCATTACAGCCATAAGCTGCCTGGCAACGCTTTCTATTCAGGTCCAAGCTGGCCAGGAAACTTAGGGAGGAGGTGGACCTCTAAGCCAACCCGGCACCAACGCTGCCTCCTACTGTCTCTTTCTCCTTCCCTGGAATGAGGCACCAACTAAGTGACTGTATCTTGAATGGCTTAGAGGCTTCTGTTGGTTTCTCCACCTTTTGGCTCTGGCTCTTGGATTTTCTCGAGTTTCTTTTCATTATTCGATCACTCATTGCTGGCTCTTAAGGTGGTGGTAGTCAAAAAAGGAAGCTCAATTAACTTGGCAGAAATCATCTATGTCAACTGTCATTGCCAAAACAAAAGTGCTTGACTATTTTGCATCGGGGCAATGACCTAGGTATGGGGCCAGAATGAAGAGGAAGAGCTGATCTCTGATGTGGAAGAGCTGACAAGCTCATGTGGGAACACGATGGCAACAGTACTCAGTGCTCTGATCACAGGAACCACGCCATGCTCAGCGCGAAGTCCAGAGCAGCCAGGATGCACAACTGACAGGGTCCCCCTTCACAATGTGGTCTGCAGAATCACAACCTCCTGGAGTTGTACAACCGGTAGACTGTGCAGAGAAATGCTGTATCCCTGCACATCCATCGCTTACAATGCCTAGGATATAGCTGATGCTCACGAAATAGTGAGAAAGTAAATAAAAGCATTTTCTTTTTTTTTTTTTTTTTTTTTTTTTTTTGGGTTTTTTTTTTTTTTTTTTTTTTTTTTTTGAGATGGAGCTTCGCTCTTGTCACTCAGACTGGAGAGCAGTGGCGCGATCTCAGTGCCCCTTCAACGTCTGCATCCTGGGTTCAAGCAATTCTCCTGCCTCAGCTTCCCAAGTAGCTGGGATTATAGGCACCCACCACCATGTCCGGCTAATTTTTGTATTTTTATATTTTTTATTATTATTTTATTTCATTTTTTGTTTTAAATATGTGGTTTCACCATGTTGGCCAGGCTAGTCTTGAACTCTTGACATTAGGTGATCTGCCTGCCTTGGCCTCCCAAAGTGCTGGGATTACAGCCACGAGCCACAGTGCCTGGCCGGACTTTCATTTTTTCTTCCTTTTTTTTGAGATGAAGTCTAGCTCTGTTGCCCAGGCTGGAGTGCAGTCACTTGATCTCAGCTCATTGCAACTTCTGCATCTCAGGTTCAAGTGATTCTCCTGCCTCAGCCTCCTGAGTAGCTGGGATTACAGGTGCCAGTTACCATGCCTGGCTAATTTTTGTAGTTTTAGTGGAGACGGGGTTTTTCCATGTTTGCCAGGCTGGTCTTAAACTCCTGACCTCAGGTGATCTGCCCACCTCCCAAAGTGCCAAGATTATAGGCATGAGACACCATGCCCAGCCTCTTCCCTGAAATTCTAATCACAGAACTGACTTTATGTGTTTATATTCTAAGGCATCTGGTAGGAGCAAAAACAAATCTACTCTCGAAGAATTCACTCTTAATGATGGTATCATATAATACTCTGAGATAGAACTTGGTCAAACAAGGACCCATAATCCCATATTATAAAACCCAAGAGGCAACACATCACTATAAGCAAGAGGCAACACACACAATAACTGACAAAATCAGATCCCCAAGGAATGATACTGCAGTGATCATATACAAAATGTCACGTAAGTATGCTTAAAATATTTTCTTTTTTTTTTTTTTGGAAACAGAGTCTCGTTCTGTCACCACGCTGGAGTGCAGTGGCACGATCCTGGCTCACTGCAACTTCCGTTTTCCGGTTTCAAGCAATTCTCCTGCCTCAGCCTCCCGAGTAGCTGGGACTACAGGCACGCACCACCATGCCCTGCTAATTTTTTGCACTTTTAGTAGAGACAAGGTTTCACCATGTTGGCCAGGATGGACTCGATCTCTTGACCTCGTGATCCGCCCGCCTTGGCCTCCCAAAGTGCTGGGATTAGAGGCGTGAGCCACCGCGCCTGGCCTTAAAATATTTTCTTAAAAGAAGAAGAAAGGGAGCTGGGCACAGTGGTTCACACCTGTAGTCCCAGCACTTTGGGAGGTCAACGTGGGCAGATCATCTGAGGTCAGGAGTTCAAGACCAGCCTGGCCAACATGATGAAATCCCATCTCTACTGAAAATATAAAAATTAGCTGAGCATGGCGGTGAGTGCCTGTAATCCCAGGACTTAGGAGACTGAGGCAGGAGAATCGCTTGAACCTGGAAGGTGGAGGTTGCAGCGAGCTGAGGTTGTAGTGAGCCGAGATTGCACCACTGCACTCCAGCCTGGGATTGATTTTTTGGAAAAAAAAAAAAGAAGAAGAAGAAGAAGGAGATAATTTTAAAAAACACCAAGTAAATTAATAGAATTGTTAGAAACAGGAACTATAACCACTGAAATGAAACACTCAATAGACGAGATGTAAATTGACGAAATGAGAAAAGACTGAAACCTTAATCCAAAGACGTTGCCTTATTATAGCACAGAAATTTTCAAATGTTAAAACTATCACTATGGAATTGCATTTTCAACTAAAATATTATCCAAGAAAGAGACTTTAATAAAGACTTTTGAGAAACAAAGAGTGAGAAAGTTTACCATGAACAGAATCTCACTGAAAAAGTTCTCTAAAGAATGTACTTGAGCGTGGGGAAAAAAAGAAAAAGATGTGGTATGCAAGCTAAAATGAGAAACAGCTGATACACACACAGATAAGTCTTAGTATATATGAAAACCCCCCAACTCCCCAAAAAAGGTACTTGGGGGTGAAACAAAATACAAACTGCAACTAAAACAACGGTGGAAGTGATTATATTTAAAGCCATTTCACAATTTTGTCCAAGAGGAAACTAGAAAGACTAACTTTGGATTCTGTTAATAATCATGTTAGGCCGGGCGCAGTGGTTCACGCCTGTAATCCCAGCACTTTGGGAGGCTGAGTGGGTGGATCACATGGGTCAGGAGTTCAAGACCAGCCTGACCAACACAGAGAAACCCTGTCTCTACCAAAAATACAAAATTAGTCAGGCGTGGTGGTGCATGCCTGTAATCCCAGCTATTTGGGAGGCTGAGGCAGGAGAATCCCTTGAACCCTGAAGGCAGAGGTTGCAGTGAACTGAGATTGCACCATTGCACTCCAGCCTGGGCAACAAGAGTGAAACTGTCTCAAAAATAAATAAATAAACAATCATGTTAAAATTTTAAGATCAAATCAAGGATATAGGTTGAAAGGAGAAAGCAGAATTTATAAATGCCACCTAGAGGAGGACAGGAAAGGAAAACAAGACAAATTGAGCAAAACAAGATCATAGGAACAAATAAAAATATATAGCTATTCTAAATAAATGTAAAACAGCTAAA